TCCCTATGTCCCAAGAGATAGATAACTACCCCTTGTAGCCCTATGCTTTAGCTTAATACTAATTAAAATTGCCAAGGCATTTAAGGCTTTGTTCATTACAAAAACAGAATTATATATGCATTCCACAAATTTCCCAGGGGCACAGGGGTTTGTAAGTAGTGTTCAGTTCAGAAACTGAATAGTGGGGAGATTACATGATTGTCCGAAATAGCATGTATTGGGATTGAGTAAACAATGAAGGTGTGGATGAAAATCACTTGAAGAAAAGGTAAATATACAAATTCTAGGAATAATGGAAGAATTGTTCTGACTTCAGCAAAGGGTATAAAACGATAAACAAAGTAAAGCATAACTAGACTTTGGGTGGGGAGGATATAAACATATAAAATACAAAATGGGCATTTCCAAAGAGTAGGCTATAGCTACAAATGTATCTGGAAGCCTGCCTCTCTTTGGAAATTGAATCTAATATATCATATTTGTAATGGGTCCATCTCAGTAGTGACTAGGTAACCATTTGCAATCAGCTGAAAATGTAATGGTCCTTAGATTTATTCTTCTGGTCAGAGACTGTGCTGGTGGGGGACACAACTATATGGACAGATATTTATAAATTTATAGTTATTTTCTAAAAAGAAAAGGAGTACTTGTCGCACCTTAGAGACTAACAAATTTATTTGAGCATAAGCTTTCGTGAGCTACAGCTCACTTCATCGGATGCAGTGAGCTGTAGCTCACGAAACCTTATGCTCAAATAAATTTGTTAGTCTCCAAGGTGCCACAAGTACTCCTTTTCTTTTTGCGAATACAGACTAACAGGCTGCTACTCTGAAACTAGTTATTTTCTGTGTTTGTTATGGAGGTTACAATAGATGCAAATGGAAATAATAAGTAATAATATAGTTCATGACAATGTAGTTTGTGTATGCTATTTTCTTAATCATACTACCATTATAGTAATTCTTAAAAAAAAAAAAAAAAAAAGATGGCTTGTTTGCTTTAAAAAAGAAGAGATTCCTAAGTTCAGATCCATTGACTGAATGGATCTTTTGCTCTCTAAAATAGTATTGTGGCTTTCACAATCTCATATTGATAAAGAATTTGATATACTGCAATCATCTCCTTGCTTAATTGCTTATTTTCTCATGAATGTAATCCTAATTTTCTTAACCTCTCCTCTTACTGTAGTTCTGACTCCTGAGGCCTTTTATCTTTTCTGTAGCCCTCTTTGTTACCTTTTGAAATATTTCATTATCCTTCCTGTACCAGCATGCTCTGAATTGTGCAGGGCTCCAGGTTATTTTTGCTCACAGATGTTCTGTACAGTGCCAGCATTTCTGCTCTGTTTCTTTATTGACACAGTTCCAGAGGTTTGTTTGCTTTCCTAACTGCGGCTAGCTAATGAGCTGAGTATAGTATATTTCTGTCAAGTCTCTCTCTCAGATCTTTTCTATAACCTGTCATCTGGGACTATGTGGGACCCAACTCAATAAGCCATTTCCCAAACTTATCTACATCTTTAATCCTTTCCTACATTCAGTTTGAAAGCCACTCCTTTTTGCCATTGTCCTTTGTGATGGTTCTTGAGGCACCCAGGACTGAGCCATTTTGTTACATCTGCCTCTAATGAGAGAAGTCTTCCCTGTACTTCCTGGGTGTCAGCTCCCTAACACCACCAGCCTTTCAGCCACTCAAACACTCTCCTCTGTGCTACACCAGACCTGTCTTTGCCTTGCAGATTAACAAAAGGTTACCCAGTCCCCTTGAGCATTTTCCGTGTGATATGCAGCCCCTAACACTGGCTACTCACAGAAATCCCTGATCCTTTGCTCCCAAAGGAACAGTGTACCCCAGTTGACCAATTTTCCCTTTTGCCACTGCTAACACACTGCACTTGTGAGCATTTTGTAATAAGTCCAAAGAAAGTTTATTTAAAATAAAATAGAGATTCCACTAGAAACAAGAGCAAGTGATGGAAACATGGTTACAATACAAAAGAAAACCATAAAACGTGAATTAAGGCCTACACTTATTAATAGTTACCTTTCCTATCTAATAAAGTAGGTTTTCCCCACAAAGTTCAGTCTGTTGCAGAGCTGGCTGGCATCCCAGGAACCAAATACAAATGTTCATGAAACACGCTGTTCAACAAGGAGTCTTCTCAGTGAATGGCTGCAGAGTATCTTTCTCCACCCTGTGATATACTTAACCAGTCTTTCATCTTAATTCACAGATAGGGTGATCTGTTATAAAATTCCATTTTACCTCCAAGGGTTTTGATTGCTTGCAGTTGTCTTTGATGGTTTTTCATTGACTGTTGTGGGATGGGGCAAGAGTAGACAACTGAACCTGGCTTTATACCACTGGCTGACCAGGGGGAGGTGACAATTCCCTCCCACTTGAATGGGCCATCACTGAGACATGCGATTCCCTGGAGACTCACTTTTACTCCAAAACCCAAAAGGCATTGTTTTCACTGTACATTATCGCTTAAACATTATCTGTCTGGGACAGAAGTTGCTTGTAAAGAACAGTGAACACTTTGTGCTTTGGCATCAGTTGGCCTCTGTGTTACACCTTTGGATTCACTCTTGCCCCTCGGAGGCATTGGTGCATTCTCTTATTTCATATCACCTGCAAATGTGCATAAACTGATCTCTAGTTACTAGTCACTAATGTATAGCATTGGGTTGTGTCTGCTGCTATTGAAATCAAGAGAGGTTTTTCCATTGCCTTCTCTGGAAGCAGGCTTGGGCCCTAATTAGTCTAGCTTTCTAGCCTTAAAATCTATTAATCTATTCTCCCTTGTGGCAGTCCACCACTTATCTATTCCTACTAGATCTGTAATTATTTACCCCATTCTCTGGCCTCTTTTATCCACACAATTATTTTACTCAATTGAGCATTTCACCATCAAGACAGTACTTACTAACTTTAGATTAGTCATTTATGTGAAAGTAAACTTCTTTTTCAAGTATTATATGTTCTCCTTCACTCGATTCTCCTATTAGAGTTGTTGATTAAAAGACGCAGCCAATTGTTTTACTGCACTCATGGTTCATTCTTAAAAGTGTTCAAGAGACTAAATAACTAAATTTAGCCAAATTTATTGTCTAAAGACAAAGAAGAACAATATGAAAAGGAGGCGTACATATCCTCTTTCTGAGAAGCAAATTTTCACAGTGTATTCACCTTACACATGTCAACTAGCAGTATTTATACAGTAGTATTTGTTTTATAGGTTACAAAACTCTTTACACATCACTAAAATCCAACACACAAGTGTGTACCAGTTCCTTAAGTAGTTGTTCTGTACCTTTGTTATCTTTGTTTGAATACTAACATTCCAGGTACTGTCCATGAAGGTATCTTCCTTTACTTTCTCATGTTATGTTTTGAATACTTCATTCAAAGTGTTGCTGAACCCTGAAAGTAGTCCCTAACAGTACTTGGTACAAAGTATTCACAAAGCTTGCTTTGACAAGTTTCCTATTTTCTAGTCTGACTTCAGCTTTGTAAAATGTTGTGAGATACTTGACATGGGTGAACAAAATTGTGGGAAGAGCATAATACATGAACATAACTTCCCAACTTCCATATATAAAATGTAATGTAATGTTACAGTAATATCATGCACCTAATACCTATTAATGTGGTGTATAGTACATCTAATGTATATGTATGGGCTAACGGTGTAATGTATATTGTTTGAATTAGTTGATAATTGTGGATTAATGAAAAAGATAATTGAGAAAAATCCCCTGAATTTTTCAAGAGGTAGCGTGAGAACTATTATGCCATTTTATTAAGGGTGGGGTTTTTTGTTTGTTTGTTTAAAAAGGACATGTAGTTTGGATCAGATTGATTTTTTTTTTTAACCTTTCTGTGCCTTTTTTACTCTATCTTTAGTTGTGGCAATGACAAATCTTTTTTCCATATTTTGAAAACGATTGTGTCATTTCCAAAAAGCCAAAATCTGTTCTCTAGGGCATTTTTTGTGCATGTGTGCTGACACAGCATAATGCTTTGCTACACAGGAATTGCCATACTGGGTCAGACTCATGCTCCATCTAGTCCAGTATTGTGTCAGTGGCCAGTACCAAATGCTTCTGAGAAAGATACAAAAAAACCCCAGATCAGGTTGATGTGGGATAATCTGCACCCGTCCTAATCCCTAATAATCAGAGATCGGCTTAAACCCTGAAGCATAAGGTTTTATCTCCCTTCCAATCCTTTTGCCATTAGCATTAATTATTATAATTCTGAATATTCTTTTTATCCATGTAAACATCCAATTACTCTTTGAATCTTGCTAAATTTTGGCTTCAGTTTTATTCTAGGGGAATGAATTCAACTGTCTAATTACATGTTGTTTGAAAAAGTGTTTCCTTTTATCCGTTTTGTATTTGTCACCTTTCAATTTTATTTCATGTCCCCTTGTTCTAGCATTATGAGACTGGGTGAACAGAACGTCCCTGTCTACCTTCTTACCATTTCTAATGAACAGTGGTATTAGAGTGGACTTATTTTCCATTTCCAGGAGCAGTGCAGGGTGGGAATTATGGTACTGTTTTTCCTCCTTGCCTGGGGAAGGGAAGTAATTTATTACTTGCATTAGTTGGATTGGTATGTGGGGGAGGGGAAGAGGCACAGCTCCAACTTTTCCCCAGCCCTTCCTGACTAGCTAGTTAAGGTGAGGAGTCAGCAGTTGCAAAGTGCTCCGTACCCCTATGCCCTCAGACTCAAGGTCATGCAGGAGAGTATTGTTCCCCTGGTGGAGGTGTACAGCCCATGTGGAAATCTAGCCCAAAGAGTATATTCTGACTGCACAGGATAGTACAGGAGTGGGAGATGAATCCCTATGGGAAGAACTCGTTTCTCTGTGAATTAGTTTCACTAGATTTCTAATAAGTGTTATGAAATGTATTTAAAATCATGTATGTAGAGTAGCTACGTGATTGGTTTACTGGGCTCATTTGTTCCCCTCTCCTTTTCTGCAGGTTTGAAGATGGCACTGTTTCATTCCTTGATATCATTGCACTGAAACATGGATTTGATGCTTTGGAAAGACTTACAGGTCAGTCGCACATATAACTCTAACACCAAAGAAGGAAGTTCCATATTAATACACAGGGCTTGATTCTGATCTTGTTGACACCACTAACTTAATTCACTTGGATAGAGTTATGACTGTTGTTTACTCATTTGAGATTGGAATCGTGCGTGTCAGTGGTGTATTCAATTTTAAAATATCAGATTTTTCTAAGCCATTTTGTCACTATCTATAATAAAAACAAAACATCAATGGGATTCTTCTAAATAAACGTGTAAAGTTTTGAGCAGGTGACACATTTGTAACCTGAATCACATTCACAGATATACGGAAGGATTGAGTAGAAAAATATTTGCATTAATTAGCTGGGCTTCATTCAGCTGTAGTTGGCAGCAGTAATTTTTCCTACTGCATATTCGAACTTGATGATGTGGCTTGGTGCTGAAGAGCCATTTTATGATAGGGAAACCAGTGAAAACAATTTAGTGAATTTCCAAAAGCTTCTTGTTAAATAAGAAATAGTGTTCCATTGTCTGTTTGGCTACCTTCAGGCAGTAAACTTTCTAGGCAATTTTACTTTTTACAACAGTATATATTGCATTATCATGATGTCTTTTAATGGAAACCATTCTGAAATAGATTGCATTTTACATTCCTTATTCAGCCTTTTTTTTCTGGGCAGCTACATCTCAGGAAAAAAAATACATGACTGTGAAGCCACTGTAGAAATAATTTAAGGATTTGAGTATGAGTAATCACTTTTTAGATCATTCATAGAAGAATCTGAAAGATATTGATGAATTCAGTTCTGTAGAAGGCTTCCTATCCTCGGCTGACATGATTTAAAATTAATCCTATGAATGAATTTCTGTGTTGTCTCATTTTTATTTTTTTCATAAATATTTATATTCTATAATTCAAATGTGACTCTCTGCATAATTAGATGGCATTGTTATAACAATCAGATATAGTAGTATAGTATAACAATCTGATATAGTAGCCCACCTAAGTAGTGACATGCATCCATTGGGGAAAAAATAGTAATCCCCTCCCTCAAAAAAAATCTTCCTATTCATTGAGATGCAGACCACGTTCCATGAAATTTGCAGTCCCCTTTCACATTTGGGTAAGTGATTTCCTTTCTGCTGTGTTGTCTCCTACATCAGTGGTTCTCAAAGCCGGTCCGCCACTTATTCAGGGAGAGCCCCTGGTGCACCGGACCAGTTTGTTTACCTGCCGCGTCCGCAGGTTCAGCCGATCGCGGCTCCCACTGGCTGCGGTTTGCTGCTCCAGGCCAATGGGGGCTGCGGGAAGGGCGTCCAGCACGTCCCTGGGCCCACGCCGCTTCCCGCAGCCCCCATTGGCCTGGAGCGGCGAACCGCGGCCACTGGGAGCCGTGATTGGCCGAACCTGCGGACGCGGCAGGTAAACAAACCGGTCCGGCGTGCCAAGGGCTTTCCCTGAACAAGCAGCGGACCAGCTTTGAGAACCACTGTCCTACATGGTAGTAGGACACAGTTACATAAAATGAAAAGTATTTTCAGCTTCTGTTCGTAATTGGCACTGAAAAATTACTGAGGTTTATTAAACATCCATATATTTACCCATATTTATTACTATTACCCCATATCCCATTGGGTGGATCACATAAAAAGATGAATATGGGTGAGTGCTACTCATTGGTTTATGGAATAAAACTTCTCCAGAAACTAGTCTAAATCTCTGCAGAAGGTCCACTGGAGAGGAGGTTACAATGGCCACATTGCGATAGCCTCCTTTGTGCAGGAGATTTGGGAGTTTTAAGGAAACAAAACAGCCCCCAAAGTAGGGTTGCCAATTTTGGTTGGTAATCCTGGAGGTTTCATCACATAACATAATCTTCAACTGAAGTTTAATCTTTAATTCCTGGACACTCCTGGACAATCCTGGAGGGCTGCCAACCATACCCCAAAAGCGGCATGAACGAGGCTGCCAGGAGATGTCCTCACTCAGAACCTTCTCTGTATGAGCTCCTGCGAAGCCCTTGGCAGGAATCAAAGCTGCATTCCCTAGTGGAAACCTTTGGAATGAAGGGTATTAGAACCAACAGTTCCATGTTAAAGTGAGTCTCCCAGAGTCACAAAGGGTCTTCTTGACTCCAGGATGTGTAACACATTATTCCTTGCGTCAGCTGGTGCTTATCTGGCCCAGTGTCACAAATCCATGAGATGACCATTAATGCCAGATTTTGCATTTAAATCAGAGATTTTTCTGAAAGATACATAAAATTACATGAAGCCAGAGAGTTCCCTATTGACAACATATAGGATGAGGCTTAACTGCATTGTTTACTTGCACGCAGATAGAATATATTGTGCTTATGAAATGTGTTCTTGGCATATCAGTTTCAGGCGCAAATGTAGGTATAGGTGATGTGTCAGGCCTACATCTCTCAACTTTCTTCAGCTCACTCTTCAATTTGTTATTTTCAAGCACAGATGCATCAAACACATACCTGACATAACAGTGGCCCCAATCCAGAGACGCACTAAGCATCTGTGGGGCTTTTGTAATACCTGTTGGCTGTCATAGTGATTTCAGATGTTCAGTGCCTGAGGATTTGGCCCAGTGTTTCAAAAGTGGCTGTGTTCCTTTCTGATGTCCCAAGGATTTTGTGAGGAGTCTTCTGTGACCCGGAGTGCCTGGGGCTGCCCTCACTAGAAGTGCCAAGGTCAGGGCAGGCTGCAAAAGGGAGAAAAGATACTTCCAAGCCTGGGGGTAACACTGAAGTTAAACTCCCCAACCAGTCACAAACTGTGCTTCTGATCCCTCACACTGGTTATCAAAAAGCAAAAAAAGAAATCACACAGGCACCTTTATTGCATTCCAGTTCTTTGGCTCCCAGTTAGCACATAAGTCCAGTACAGTGAGAAGTTTTATTTAAAAAACTCTGCTCACATATACAAAATGTTCTTCTGACCCCAAACGGTCAGCCACATTACCAGGTCAATATAGGTTTGGATCTTACCCGAAATACCATGCTGCCAGCCAATCCTTTAGTGTCTAAAACTAAACGTTTATTATAAAGAAAAAAGAAAGAACAAGAAGAGAGATGTTAATTGGTAAAACAGTCACATACATACAAAGACTTCAGCATCCATGTATCAGGTTCCTAGCAGTATTGGTAAGTTTGCTGGCTTGAAAGTCCCTCTGGAACACATCCACAGCTTGGATGGGTCATTCAGTCCTTTGTTCAGAGGTTCATTTGTAGAAATGTTACTACAGAGGTAAGAATCAGGAATGAAGACAAGAAGCAGGACTGAAGACAATTTTGGAGAAGATGCAACTGCCTTTTATAGTCTTTTCCCACACAGCCTGTGCTGCCTTTGTCCCAAATACAAACTGCCCAGCACATGGCTTGGAAGCCTTAGAGTTCTGTCCATAGGCATGCCCCTGCATCCCTTGCTGAGTCATAAGGTGTATTCCTTGTCTTCTCTCAATGGGCCAGTTGTATAGCTGATGGTCCTTAATGATCCATCAAGCAGGCTAGGCAGTGCTGATACCAAACTTTCTGGGGATGTCACCCAGAAGCATAGTACAAATTTTGTAATACAGGGCTGGAGCACCCACGGGGAAAAATTAGTGGGTGCTCCACACCCACTGGCAGCCAAGCTCCCCCCTCCTCGCCTCCTTCTCCCCCCACCGCCTCTCCTGAGTGTGCCGCATTCCATTCAGAGTCGCAACTTCTATAGCTCCTCAAGGGCCTGCTCCTCTTGAAATCAATAGCGGAGCTTTCATTGATGTTAATGAGAGCAGGATTGAGACCCAAATGAATAAGGAGATTTTGGACGCTCTCCGTATACAGACTACAGTTCAGAAATGGAGCCTTTGGTATATTGTTGATCTATCCATAGAATAAACTGCTTTAATAGTATGTATATTCACTAGACAAACATGTTCTGTGGTAAAGGAGCAGTTCTGTGGAATTCAGGAGCAAACTTCTTTGGTTGACAGTGCACAAACATTACCAGGGACCTGACAGGAAAGGAGGCAAAACATCATCCCTCCCAATGCATTTCTTTTTTCATCTTCGCTTCCTTCTGGCACCTATTTCAGCTGAAGAATTTATCAATCTAATGAGGGTACTAGGCTGAGGAAAAAACTGTTCCCCTCCAGTCCTGGTCCTGGATAAGATGCATGATAATAATGTGATGACAGGATAAATATAGGCATGAATGAACAGTTTGAGGCCTTTTGTTCCCGCTTTTGATTTGCTTCCTGGTCTGTATGAGTGATGAAAATCTAAGACCATACACACACAAAAAAAGACTTTGTGTGTGTGTGTAGATTTGTCTAAATTCTCTGCAGTGTCTTTTGTCTTCTGATTTTGGACTAATTCATTTGTCACTGGTGGACTTTTTTATTTTTTTATTTTATTTTATTTTTTTTGAGGAAGCATTTTCTTTGTCTGGCTTGTATGTCAGTTCTTGTCATGAATTTTCTGTAGAATACAAACTAAGGCTTCAAGGCAAGAATAAATTCCTTCACAAGGACAGGCTTGAAATGATAGCTTTCTGTGTGAAAAGATCTGTCTCTGGTATTTTGGATACATCAAATTTTATTTTCCCTATCATTCATCGGTAGCCATGTTTAACTGCAAATCAGATGTATTTATACTACTCTGGGGTGAGTGTGGTGAATTATTGTATTTGCTCAAACCCCCTTTGACCATGTTCTTGGCCAATATGGGTGAATAAACGGTCTTCTAATGAGCTTATGGTGTTCATTATCACCTTCAGAAGAATTATACATTGCTTACTCTCAAGAGTCTAAAAATGGTTCGATAAGTTTGCCATAATTTTTATATATAACAATGTCTATATATTGAAATAACTTCATAGAATAATTTAGAATTCTTTCTTGCAATACACTGTAGATGGTGTGATTTAAAATTAAATATTAGGATGAACTTTAATTTTTTTCACTAATATCTCTTGCTATAGGGCTGACCTTTTTTATTTTTACCCTTTTTTGAAATTGGAAAT